CCATGGGTTAGCAATATACATTTTAATCATTGCTAACTGCTCTTGATTTCATAAATCAATACTTTCTTCAAATGCCTATCATGATTATGCTAAAAGTCTGGCGTTAAACTCACTCCAATCTTCGTTTTCTTTAACGTTCTGATAGCTTTCATGTTCGTCTGTTTGTATGTTTTTTGCATAGTACTCATGGAAATTTAAATTAATACATATCAACAGTAAAACCCACGATTCACCGTCCCTGGGGTGATGATTTAGTTTGAGTATTTGGAAGAAGAAGAAGAAGAAAAAAAAAAACACCAAAATATCAGAATATAATCAGGAAAACTTAGATGCCAAATAATAATAATGTGATGCTTACATTAGATAAAACAGCAACTGAAAAACCACGTGGTGAGCAATTGATTTCTGGCAGTGCATGTCTCATGAACCAATTGACATTCAACAGGGTCTGAATTTTAAACCACTGTACAGCTCTCTCTGGCAGCTACACCAGGTAACAGCTGTCAGTACCTGTAAGCCTAGAGTAAGTGTTTTTAAATACATTTCAAAGTGGGCGTCAACACAACGCTTAGCGTTAGTATCTAGAAGACACAGTTTGACTGTAGTTTGCGAGAAACGTTGTGAAATCGATTACCAATACCTTGAGAGAAGTGAAATAAACGCTCAAAAGTTTCATAAAACGTATTGAACAACCATACAGACAATTAAAACGAGAGAGAGAATGGGGAGGTGGGAGGGCAAAATTAAATGCGTTAACGTCAATTATATTAAAAGTGCACAGAACCCCCGAAAATAATGATCATAATACATTTTTAAAATAATTAATTTTGATATGACAGTTTCTAGAAACTGAAACGCAGTCACATACCAAAATTAAATTTGGCCCTAATTTTTAAATGCTAAGTTATTCTGAGAAAACCTTAGCTACATAAAATTTTTTACCTGCGTATAGTAATCATTATGAAAAAAAATTATATATATATGTCTTCATAGGTTAATAAGTTACATCATGCTAATGTCAAGTTTTCGTCACGTAAGATAAAGCTACAGAGTGCACTATTAAACGCCCCCCCCCCCAGTGGCACAGCGGTATGTCTGCGGGCTTACAATGCTAAAAACCGGGTTTCGACACCCGTGGTGGGCAGAGCACAGATAGCCCATTGTGTAGCTATGTGCTTAATAACAAACAAACAAACAGTATTAAACAAGGAGTCTCAACGCTTATGATGTTTTATGTCATTATTTAAATGTCACCGACATACTGATGAACAATCTAGTCCTTAGTGTCTTGGAAAAAGCCTAACTTACAACTTTGTTATAAACGCAACAACGCCACTTTTACAGTGGTAATCGTAATCGCGACGTATATTTTTATGTGTAATATGACAAGATGGGAGTGTAATCATGTTTGTGTTTACTGTCTTGTCAGCAGCTTAACATTAAAATACGGCTGGGTGGTGTTTATTGTCTTGTCAGCAGCCTAACATTAAAATATGGCTGGGCGGTGTTTACTGTCTTGTCAGCAGCTTAACATTAAACTACAGATGGGCGGTGTTTACTGTCTTGTCAGCAGCTTAACATTAAAATACGGCTGGGCGGTGTTTACTTTCTTGCCAGCAGCTTAACATTAAAATACAGCTGGGCGGTGTTTACTGTCTTGTCAGCAGCTTAACATTAAAATACGGCTGGGCGGTGTTTATTGTCTTGTCAGCAGCCGAACATTAAAATACGGCTGGGCGGTGTTTATTGTCTTGTCAGCAGCTTAACATTAAAATACGGCTGGGCGGTGTTTATTGTCTTGTCAGCAGCTTAACATTAAAATACGGCTGGGCAGTGTTTACTGTCTTGTTAGCAGCTTAACATCAAAATACGGCTTTTCATATGTAAATACTACACACTTTCTCTCGTATTCTATTCGTACGAGACCGTAATTTATGAGTTTTATATTCGTTCTTATTAATTATTGTATTTACCATTATTACCCCCGCAACCACCCACTCCAACTTTACGGTCTTACAATACCAATTTCATATTTTTATCTTAGTTTATATATCTAGGAGTAACCTAAATGTACTAGCTCCTAGCTGGCTCAGCAGTAAGTCTGGGGACTTATAATGCCAAAAACCGAGTTTTGATACCCACAGTGGGCATAGCACGATTGGCTTATCACATTGCTTTGACAATTAACATCAAACAAAAATAATCTACCAAGTTGGCGGAGTATTTCTTACTTAGACATCAGACTAAATAAGTGAAGCTTTTTACTACAGTGTTGATTAGAATATTTAAATATATCTACTTATATTTACTTTTTATTACTAATTTAATTTCATGTTTATTATTTTTTCATAATGATTATTCTAAGCCTCCTGGGCTGACCAAATCTCGTGAGATATCGTTAACAGCGAGGGTAGTCTTACTGATGAAACAATGTGTTCTAATCATTGTAAGTAATATACTTCGAACATTATATTTAATTAGCTTTACTCAATACCTGGTATATATTTCCACTTCTGGTCTATATAGGTAGTTTACTTTGATCAGAAGTTAATATCAATTTCCAATTCGTATAGCGCGCGTTGTCAATATGATGTTGACTACGCCTATGGTAGCTGAGAACCATCGACGCAACATGATGTTGGTTTGTCTCAGCGTCCACGTGACTCGTGGTAACCTATCCATTTTTGGAAATTTAGCCTAGCGTAACCCAGTGGCTAGCGTGTCGAACTATGGATATGAGAGTCCAGATTCGCGTCCCGTGACTGCAGAAACCAAAACATCACGTTTCACACTGTGGGACAGTGGGTGCGTTATAAGGGTGACGGTCAAATCTCACTAGTTGACTGACTAAGAGCAGTCCAAGCGTGGGCGGTAAGTGCTTCCTCCCTAGTGTTGTCAGTTCAAAATTAAGGACGGCTAACGCAGATAACACTTAATTAGCTTTGCGCAGATATCCGAAAACAAGAAAACAAACTTTTGAAATCGTGAGACGCCAAAATGGCTAATTCTAGACAGATTTTCCATCATCTCAGCGTTAAAGGAATTAGTTTAGGCAATAAATTTTCAAATTTGGATGAATTCAGAAAAGCAGTTGAAATGTTTGAAAAGTTTATTTAAACTCCTACAAAAGAAGTCATAATATCAGATACATGTAGAAGGTTATACAGTAATAGCTCCCCCTTGTGAGAGATCATGAACTGGTTATGTGCTCTATCTCATAATTTATCATTGGACAAACATCTCCAATACTAAACAAGTGTCTGAAATGTCCTCATAAGATAGTTAATTGCGACTGCGACGTAAATGATAAAATATCATGTTAATATGTGTCGTTTCTTTTTTGGGAAGGGGGGGGGGAGGATATGACCTTTTAACTCATAGAAAGTGTCACCCCCCCCTCTGTATGTTTCCCAGATTAGTTTTATCAGGCAAACTCCTAGGACTATTTTAGGAAAGGTTCTCTGTGAACACTAAGGTTCAAGTACTTTATTTCACGAAGTGTTTTATATCAGTTTCTTCACAAACTGTATTTTTCCCGAGCAAATCGTAATCAAATTCGAAAAACAAAGTTAACACCTATTATGCTTTTGGATTTCTTGGGGTCACAATAAGCACAAAACATAATCAAGTATAAGAAATCGTTTTAGGGGTTGTTGTTTTTTTTTATTCTGACTACAGGATATGGTCATGTTTATGAGTCATAAGTAAAAAAAAATGGCCGACCTTTGGAAAATGAAACTCAGGTGAAAAATATGTCATAAAGATTATTTTGGTACAATTTGAAAAACAAAATGACGATGGGACCATTTTGAGCCCTTAAATCATCTTTGATCTTTGCATTGGTCGAATATTTATATATCCTTGGTGGTGAAAAGATCAAACAGATATCACGTGGATAAAGATCAAAGCAATACAAACAACGTTATACCCTACTTCCCTACATCGCACGCAATGCTCCGTAGGGTTATGTATTTAACGTGAGCAGATATTAATAACAGAACTTATATAACACTTATATAGTGACAGTCTAGTGGTGTAATACGATAATACAGTAATCTGACGATATTATGAACAAATGTCAGCACTACTGTGGCAGTAAAATGGCTGAGTAGGTAGAAATAGTTTTTGTTAAGCCCAAATCTACACAACAGGCTGGATATCTATGCTGTACCCACCATAGGTATTGAAACCCAGTTTTTAGTGTTATGAGCTCCCAGGTAGAAACATAAGTGGAATTTTTAGAGGAAGAGTCTATTAGTTTGAGTCATGTATATATGTATATATAAAGCAAAGTTATCCATCTGTGTGTCTACTGTCTACTGTGTGTACTGTTGTTACGAGTTTGCTGAACCAAGCTTGACAAAACTGGGTATAGGAAATCAAAGATCGGGTTTAATCAGACGACCAATCCAAGTTTGGCATCCAATAACAAATACGTGAAGCCGACGCCAAACAAAAGTGACGTTTAATGCCGTGCGTAGCACAGGCACTTTTCGATCAATCGGACGAACGGTTCGTGTGCTGCGGCTCAAAATAATTATCGGGTTCCCTTGCTAGTATGACAATAAAATATGGTTTTTATAGGGACAGTCTAAGAGTGTAAAATGACTCAGATGACGGCAACAGAAATATAACGTTTTCGTTAGGGACCATCTAACAGTTTCGGCTGACTCAAGTGACAACAGAGAAGAAACACGTTTTAAAGCAACAGATTGATATTTGAAAATGTCTTTCATGATAGTAACAGAAGTATAAATATTTCACTGGGATTGTATGTATAAATTTACTCTCAAGATACTAACAGAAACACAATTTTTTTATTGGGGCTGTGTAAGCGTATACATTTACTCCTTTGACAGTAACAGAAATATGGTAATTTCACTGGAAAAGTCCACTTAGTTTAAGGTGGCTTGCACGATCACCTTATTATTATTATAAGATTGTAGTAACAATAATGTTTTCATGAACAAGAACAATATATATTAGTTAAGAAGACTCACCCTTCGGTATCCTGAACGTTAATACCTCCCTTCTTACTGGAAATCAACAGTTCTGGAAAAAAAGGTAAAAAAAGAATCCATATTTAAATAACTTTTACTTTCTCCTACCCATGATTATAGAAGTGTTTTTGTTTTAACTGTGATTATACTTTATAACAATAATAGTAATAAACTAGTTGTATTAAAAGATCCCTGAGTGACTTATAAATATAACCAAAATGTTGTCTACGAAATCCCAGAAGAAACTATTCTTGTAACACAAAGTAGACTGGCACATTATAACTAAACTAACTGACTTGAGTAAAAAAATCAAAATGTTGTCTACGAAATCCCAGAAGAAACTATTCTTGTAACACAAAGTAGACTGGCACATTATAACTAGCTAACTGACTTAAGTAAAAGAATCAAAATGTTGTCTACGAAATCCCAGAAGAAACTATTCTTGTAACACAAAGTAGACTGGCACATTATAACTAGCTAACTGACTTAAGTAAAAGAATCAAAATGTTGTCTACGAAATCCCAGAAGAAACTATTCTTGTAACA